TAAAATAAATAAATAAATTGAATACATAAAGTTTGCTCCCTGTCCATCCAGATCCTATAGGATGAGGTTGAATGCTTTATAAAAGGAATATTCCAGGATCAATACACGTTAAGCTCAGTCAACAGCATTTGTGGGATAATGTTAATTACCACAAATTATTTTTACTTGTCCCTTGATGTTTTTCTTTTTTTTGAAAAGCAAAAATCAAGGTTATGGTGAAGCACCAGTGAAGCATCCTGAAAGTGAATGGGGCCAATGTTTGAGGAGCAGAATTTTTAAAAGCAGAAATGCAACGCTTTTATTTTATAAAAGCACTTACATTAATTAATTCCTCTAACAAAACGTGCATTATTTGAGCTATAAAACTGTTTAATTCATATTTACAGTCATTTTTTGATTCCATTGCCATGGTGACAGATTTGTAAAATTGCATAAGTAAAAATGTACCCCCCCACCCCACATTAAAACGGTTAACAGATTTTGTTGACATCTCATGGCTATAGGCCTACTATTGAATTATTTTTTACAGATGAAACCAATTCACTTCCATTGTGAATGTCTCTGTAACACAGGTTTTAATTTTTTGTAAAGAAAAAAGCAAAGTGGAAATTAATTGTTAATCAACATTAAGTCAAATGCTGTTCATTGAGGTTTAACCTGAAGAACCTGGAATATTCCTTTAAAGGGGCCATAACACACACAGTTTCTGCCAATCATGTCAATCTTGAGTACCTAAAGAGTTGTATTACATCCTTCATATCTCCGAAGAGTCATTGTTTTATGAGATTTATAAAAGACAGATACAGCTTTACGCTTCTCTCTGAAAACAGTCGAGCTCCTGGAGGCGTGTCATGGGCGGAGCTAAACATCAATGAGCATGCGAAGCTTATAGCGATCATCTGCAAGCTGTGACATCAACAAATAAAACAAGAACAAAAACTTTACTGACTTAAATTTTATTCAATTTGTTTATAAAACATTCGTCACCAAAATGTCGGGAACAAACAAACACACTTGCACAACTCTGTTACTGCCCTGGAGAAACAATCTGCATCCACTGTTCCCTTAACGCTGGGTTCTTTGGGAAGCTGAACAAGCTTATCTTTCCCTCACAACCAAAAACAGGGCCATACTCGGGAAAAAAAACTTTCCGAAATGTATATTGGCACAGAAATACTCCATACGTCCACTTTTTCTTTTTTACATTTTGGCCATGTTTACCATGAGAATCCAACTCTTTAACAGTGTAAATAAGTCAGTATGCATGAAATAGCATTAGACCTAGACCTCCCCTTTAAATGTCTAAAACATGTTTATGATGTTTAACAACAACAAAACTTCTTAATATTCAAAAATACACACAAAAAAAGCTGGCAGTTTATCCCTCTATAGAGTCTAGATGATCAAGGCCATAACATGTGCAAAGTTATCATGCAACACTATGCAACAGCACCTTGCTCTCCACATGCACACAATCTAATCCCACTAAAGGCGACTGGTTCTGTTCTGCAGCTGCGTCTTGTTTTTCCATTGATGTCAACGGCCATTCATTGCCTTCGTTTTCTGTGCGCCTGTAAACCACCTTTTAATCATTACCTAATTATTTAGATCTAGATTTGCTGCAGGCGCTGAGAAGCAACTTGCTGAGTTGCAGCCCTGAAGGGTCTGATTGGAACAGAAGGGTTGAGGGTGCAATGCTCTCTGTAAACTGCTCCCTTAAAGCATGTCTGTGTAAAGCCTTCCTCTCTGACGGCTGATGTCTGTCACCTTTTGACACACTGAAGCCCCTTCATACATTTAAAAAAAGGCACATGAAACGCAAAAGTAAGAGGAGGCATGAAAGGACGACTAGCGCAGCAAACATAAAAGGTATGATTTTAAAGGGCCTTTTAGCAAGAGAAGCTTGAAGCTTATGCAAAAAAATAAAACATTAGGCTATCATTTATCAGTTATAACTTCACATGCAATATATTGCAGTCACAGAGAGGAATGGGGCGTGAACAAAGGCCTTTAAACGATTATTCATAAAACTTCATGTCACCTTTAAATTTAACACCTGCATGTTAAGAGAACCCATTGGAAAATCCACAGCAGGTAAATGGCTCACTTCAAACCATTCAAGAGGCATTAGAGAGTTATTAACGTGCGTTAATTCCAACATGGTGGATGGTTTTTATGAATATGGCCCTGGGTTTAAAGGGATAGTTCACACAAAAATGAAAACGCCGTCATCATTACTCACCCTCATGTTGCTTCTAACCTGTATGACTTCCTTTCTTCCACGAACCACAAAACGAGATGTTAGTCAGAATGACAGCCTCAGTCACGGTTCACTTTCACTTCATATTTTTTATCATGCAATGAAAGTAAATGACTGAAGTTGTCGTTTCTGCCTAACACAAACTGTTTCAGCTCTGAGGAGCTCCATGAACTGAAAAATGTAAATGTTCTAGTACTCAACAAGGTGAAAGAAAACTGGTTTACAAACATGTCATGATTGTGTTATGCAGCCATTTTGGCCCAGCGATACCTGGCTTGCAATGTGAAATGTCTCCCTCAAAGCTTGTGTTCAAATAAATGTATTTATGTGATGTGTCATGGCTTATGTTGCCAAGGGAACGTATATGATAATGAAAGCACTTTTTTGCTCTCTTATATATACACACACTGAGCCTGAGGTCTCTGTAAAAATCATTCTCTTCCAATATGACAGCTTGACTCAAACTGGATCATCTGATCACCCACTTTTTACACCATAAACTTCCAACTTAACCAACAATCATTTGACTTCTGAAATGACACAGCAATAATATATCATCAGCAGCATTTACTATTACTACCCAACAAAACACACAGATATAAGGTAGAGCTTTATTCCTCTATAAATAAGATACAGCATGAGAAATCAGTGTGAAGAATCGCACCCTGTTCCTTCAGCAACAGATGCCCAAGTCATCACCACTCATGTCTCACACACACACACACACACTATCAGAGCGCTTAGCACATGCCTATGGGCTAATTTTCTCCCAGCTGAACCACCGCGACAACACATCAGCATTTAAACCCTTCGTTTCATGTGTCACAGATAACAGCAGTGGATCTTCATTCACTTGCGCTTAATCCGTTTGTTTCTTGTTCGCGAGCGGTGGAGCTCGCGCAGACAAGCCGCGCGCGCTTTAGTGATTTATCACAGCCAGGCCACACAGCGCCTTCGTATTTATACCCATACATTTGGACAAAGCGTCTTCCAAAGTGAAACTGCTCAATCACTTTGAAAAATACAACTGTAATCCAAAGTTTAAAGGTAACAGATTTAGTGGTTGCCACACTGGTTAGGCTACTGGTAAACCAAGAAACAGCGTGACAAGTAAACTAAAGAAATTGCGCATTGGTGAGCATCCTCGGTTCTACATTCTGACAAATACGCATTAAGAGGCCGATATTTACGTGTTACGTAGAAAAGTCTAAGATTATTGCACACATAACCAGCACTGACTATTCGCCAGTGTGTTTAAAACGAATAACCCCTCATTCCGCGTCTTGTCATCAGCAGTCTTATATCCTAAAGTAATCCATCCATAATTTATGACTCTAGGTCACTCCATATTGGCGAAAGGTGTCTCGACAGCACAAACTCATCCGTTTACATCGACGCCCGGACACACACGCAAGCGCGCACCCGCGTTCAACTGGACACATACACAGAGACACACACTGTCGCATTAATTCCCTTGTACTCATATACATCATAAAACAAGGTTTGCGTTATTACACTCGTTAACACAAATGGCAAATAAGAGAAAATACAAAATTAGCCTTATTAAACGCAGCTGTTTACGAACGCTATTCATGCATACATTTCCAAGACTACCGAACATACGTACAAAATGTGTTTTACAAGTAGCTAGTAATACTATATTTATCCAGCCTTACCTCGTCTATTCTTCCTTTGTTTGCTTTTTAAATCTAAATATATCCTTCAGAAGCTCTGGTGCGGAGTCGAAGTCTCCTCTCGCCTGTCTTTCTCCGTCTCCCTAGCGCTCTCTCTCTCTCTCTCTGTCTGTTCAACCCTCTCTCTATCTCTATCTCTCTCTCTCTCTCTTAAATTGATTCACCCTTTCGCAGAGCTGGAAGCACAGCACTGTCTGCCTGTGCGTGGTGGGTCAGATGGAAAAAATACACTCAGGAAGACATAACAGCCAACTTTACCAGAGTACATATTAATGAGTACAACATGTAGTGTGGTTAAAAGCCCATGAGATGAATTAATTATTATTAGCCTGAATCAAATGGCACAACTGACCCAGCCAACACACCTATGTGGGGCCCATAGGGGTTGCAACTGGGCTGATATCTGGGGCCCACCTGGGCTACCCAACTGGGACCCAGCTAATTTTGTCCTCAGTTTCCATGGTGGCCCCACATGGGTTAGCACAGATGGGCTGATGATGGGCTCCATATAGGGCCCGTATGGGTTAACCAGGTAGCTCCCATTTGGTGCCTACATGAGCCTGCCTACATGGGTTAGAGATGGGACCCAACTAGGTCTTATGTAGGTCTCTTATGGGCCACAACAGGTATACATATGGGCTAATATATTTGTCTGTTTGGGTTACCTTATTTTACGTTAAACCACTAAACCCAAACATTACATAAATCCACTAAAATTGTAAAGGTATTCAATAAACAGAAACCAGTACTTCAAGCTTCTAAGCAAAGTTTATTTGGAAAAATTTAAACATGACTATTTTAACTTGTACATTTACAACTTTATAAAAAAAACTATCTAAAAAAAAGTACATTTTAAGCTCCGGAAAATCTTTATTTCTTGTAACAACTTCAGAACTTGTATTCTGCATGCTTTATTAAGCAAGGTTTCATTGGAATAATTTGAATATGACCATTACAACTTGTACATTTACAACTTTATAAAACATAAGTATCTTTAAAAAAAAAAAAAAAAAGGAGAAGCTCCTGACAAACATTATTTGGCATAACTTGTATTGTTTGTATATGCATATCTGAACACTCTAAAATACATTATTTCACACAAAATAAATAAATAAAATACCGAAAGTGCAGCTCCTCACTCCCCTGTCCTTGCTCTCCCAACGGCCCTTTGAAAAGAGAACAATTAATCAACCACTGTGCCACTTTTTCACAGTTAAAACAGATAAGTCTTGTCTTTTTAAAGATTGTATTTCCATTTAAAAATCAAGAATATCTTAAGACTTACCTATCTTGCTCTCCACTACGTCAGGGGTTCCCAAACTTTTCCATTCCACGACCCACCTAGACAAGTAGAATCTATTTCACGACCCACCAAAATATTTGAGATAAAAAACAACTTACATTACTTTAAGCCTAATCATAATTGAAAGTTTAATGACAGAAATGAAGTATTTAAGAAAAATAACCATTTTATTTTAGAGTACAACTGTAAAATTTTAATGGTCAGCTAAATGGTCATGTTAGAACACACCACTTGTTTCTGGAAGGTAGGGTCTGCCAATTGCTGCTCCATTGCATCAACATCCGATGACAAAAAGCCAAACTATGTTTCGGTTAACATTATGGTTTGTAAACAATGTATTTACATGCTCAACATTTTAAGTTTTAAAATTGTAATTCTTACCTTGGATACACTGATGGCAAACGTCAGTGAATAATTGCGCCGGGTGGGGAATGGGGGATGGGAAATGCTGAATGAAATCACGCGGGATCTGTCCCATGCAGATCGAGGAGGGGCTGCGTCTCGCGGTAGTTTGATGTCATACGCCGATCGTTCTGTGAAGTGCCGAAGCATCTCGAACAAGAGAGAGGGAGATGTGGTGGGGGGATGGGATCTCGCGAGAAAGTTGTCAGCACAGTTAAAGTGGCTGCATTTTTTTTGTTAAATGTCAGTGGAAAATTGTGTACAAATGCAGGAGTGTTGGAATTTTTAGATGTTGATTAAGTAATCCAAGAGTCAAAACAACAACAAAAATAATTTTAAAGACACATATGTGCACTATATATATCCATGTAATCACCCTATATGGGATTAATTATGTTTGCACTTGTATATTTGATAAAACAAATAGGGCCCCATGTGTAGCCCATTTTGAGCCCATGCACAAATTTCCCATTAATTACCCAACTAGGAACCACATGGGGAACCCATCTGGGTTCACCCATGTGGGTCCTAGCTGGGTCACCCACGTGGGCCCCAGATAAGATGCCCATTTTATGCCCATGCCCACCCTGTACCCCTGTAGCCCATGTGAAACCCATTTGGGCCCCACATTAACGTGTTTGCTGGGTGAGACGGTAAAATAACGCTTAAATAGCAAAAACCGACCACTCAAGTGTACTCTCGTTAGTCAGTCAAACCTAAATGCGGAACCGTGAACCGAAGACTTTATAAACTGCATACGATCCTTAAATGTGCTGTAAAAGCAAAGGTTGGTGGTTCTAGATCTTCAGACAAACCCAAAACACACCCTCTGTTAATACAGCAATTATATTAACCTGTCAATCAGAAACAAAACAAGCTATGCGCCTGTCAGGTGTTTAGGTCTAGGTTCTCTTTAGCGATGTAAAGCTTTACCTCTTGTCTTCCTGTATATTCCATTTTGAACGTTTTACTGTGAAAGCTATTGACAGTTGAGAAATCGCGAATATTTTGTGCATACAAATTACAAAAAATACGCACGTGCCATGCTCTCAGCTTCCGGATTCCAATATATGGCGTTCCCGCTGTGAAAGTGTAAAAATGACTGAGAGACAAGGCCCCGAAAGCTCATCAAAAAGCCTTCTGATTGGCTAAACAAGCAGAGTTGACCAATGAAATCTTTAGAATCGTCTGTGAGGCGGTGTTTGCACTTAACTGGTTTGGGAAACAAATCAGTGTTTTGATTGTGCCCAGAGAGAGGAGTATTTTCAGGGTGATAGCATTTTCTCACACCATGATTTGAAATTGGAGCGGGTTTATAGCCTATCACTAGTGAGCAGAGGGAATGGTAAACTAAAAACGGACTGGAACTAAAAAAAATCTGGAGGGATTACAGAAGGCCTTGAGTGGGATGAAAAAGATTACTGTTCAGTGTTGCCAAGTCTTGGGCTAGGCTACTTTTATACTGTTGCTGCATTTTTTGTTATTATTATTATTATTATTATATACCGAGATGGTACTCCCTAGAAAGATGTTTTTACCCCAACCCCACCAGAAAGTGATTTTGAAGAGATTTCAGTAGTCAGTTTCCCCTGCAACCCAGTTGGACTAGTTTTGACCATGATTGGGCTAGTTTTGTTATGCAGACCTGGCAACCCTGTTACTCTTGCTCTACTCTACTCACAACCCTCCAGTATGTGTGTTGCTTGAGATTGATGCATTGGCCTCTTTTAAAACTATTTTCGTCTGTCTCGCCAAATTTAGTTTGAAATGTAAGTTACTCAATATTAACTTCCTGTTAATTGAACTATTTGTTGTACAAACAATTTTAAAAGTGTTGTTGTTCTCATCCTTGCTGCCGAATCACTCTCGCATGTGAATAAGCCAAAGTCATAAGAGAGATAACTATGTGAATCTCTTATCTACAGGGACAATTACTTATTTCATGAGCAATGGCGCAAGTGAATGTCAGACCGTATTTCATGCGCGTCACATCAGAATTACGCGCAGGACATGTCAATCAATCGATGCACTCTATGGTAGAGACAGACATCTGTCCTTTTATCGACACGAGGCAGGCCTGGTAATGCACAAGAAATCCCTGCTCAGCTTCACACTTTGTGTATTTGTGTAGGAGTGATATGTGTGTGCCTATGTATGCGTGTGTGAGGTACAGAACTCATGTGCGAGGCCACAGCACGCGCGCGCTCCGCTTTGGATGTTACGTTGGCATAGCAACGCCGAGTCGCATACAGTAGCCGAATCCGCGAGCGCCCAGCATCTGTCTTTAAACGCCTCCAACGCGCACCTTTTCTTACCGATTTACAGCGAGGTTGCGCAGAAGATCGCGATAAATAATTGTGAAGGATATCGATACATGGGGGCGTGACAATTTGAGTTGGTGCTTGGAGGAATTGGGGGGTAAATGAGGTGTGAGAGGAGGAGGGAGAGGTCAGTGGAGGAGCGACGGAGAGAGAGAGAGAGAGAGAGAGGGATGAGGGATATCAGATGGCTGATTAGCACTGAATTGATAACATTCTAAATTCAGACACGAGGAATCAGTCACTGCCTCACTCTCTATCCACTTTTAACTCTTCACATCCGACTCTGCGGATAGTAGGCTACGTTCGTTGCTCGCAATAAACGTCTGAGAGATGAGATTGCGGCTGACTTTACCTCCCTTTACCCCTCTCTCTTTTTTTGTTTCTCAGGACGGATATGGAACACAGCTGCTGTGTCTTTCAGCCTAAAATGATATTCACATTCGGCTATACGGCTTCCTCGGAGGGGCTCGTACGGTCCAGTGGCCAATCCCGGCACCTTCGGAATCAGCGTGCCCCCGAACGAACTCCCTTCACCTCACTTTCATCCTCCCCTCCTCCGACTCTCTCTGCGGCGCACTGGCTCCACTGACATCACATCTATACCATTAGCTCCCTGGCTCTCTTTGAATACCCCCGCCCCCTTCCCTTCCTGCCTTTTGCCCCCGAACTGCGCTCTATGCAGTAGTAGAGGAGGCATTGTTCACAGCCCGTAGCTCAACCCTGGAATTCTACATCAGTAGTCTCTCTCTCTCTCTCTCTCTCTCTCTCTCGTCCAGCTTCAGCATCCTGCTCCTTCTTCCTCTCCCTCCCTCTCTCTCTCTATTAAATTTCCAGTCACACAACAGTGCAGTGGATATCCCTCCCTCCCTCCCTCCGGTTTTCTCTCTCTCTCCCTCCCTCTCTCCTCTTTCCAATATCCTCCTCTCTCCCACAGATACCCTCCTATGTTGAAATCTTTCTGGATCTCTGTATGTCTCCCTGTTGACTGCTCTCTCTCCAAGCCCCCCCCCCCCCTACCACCACCACACACACACACACACACTCACTCACACTTATCCGGCGTGGCAATCGTGTACAATGCACAGTGTGTGTATTTTGACCATGTGGAATGTGCTTTCTTGGTCATTCTTCTCCCTCTTTCGGTCTCCCTCGCGGGGCAGCTGAGATGTGACTGATTATGTGGACTGGACACCACAGGCCATTACATGAACAGTGATGCGGGCCGGCTGGAGGATTAATGCAGTTCACATGATGAAGATAGAGCGGGCGCGCTGAACACTATAGGCCCTGTGTGTGTGATTACCGCCCTTCACGGGGGGCTGCGGAAAAGCGCGAGGCTCTTTGAGCGCTGCAATGCTTTACTAGCTTTAGTGAACACTACGCAACGCTTCGGAATTAATGCTCGCTTCCGTGTCCTCACCCGCAGAGTGAAATATTCCCAAACCACTTGTGTGGGACGACACGGTGCTCTCGGGATGTGTTTCTGCTCAGTTTTGCTGTGCATGCCGACTGTTTTTGTCATGCGAGTCAATGACGTGATGCTCTGTTAAAATTAGTTCAAAACTACATTCAAACTGCAATTCACACATAGAGTGATCTGCACACACATCTCCTGTGTTTTTAATTGCTGTATTTAACTTAATTTACATTTTAAGTGAAAAATGTCAGGATGATACTGTCCTGATACTATTTTTTCTTTATATAAACAACACTGCTTATCTTTATCTGCTTATCATCACTGGTTATCTGCTTCACTGCTTATATTTATTATATATATATATATATTATATATATATATATTATGTTTCAAAACAAGGAATGGTATAGAGTGGATCCCTGCAGACCCTCATGATGGTGTCAAGGTCAAGAAGTCTCTTAAAATATCAGATAATTTGACCTTTTTATGACAAGGCAAAGTTATAAAATTTTATGGTGTGAATCCCCAAAAACATCATGATTTATTATTTTTGGAAAGGAAAAAAAAAGAAAGAAAAACTTTCTTTGTACTCAGCATGAAAGGAAAACGCAATAAATTCATTACACTGGACTTTTCCTTGAAAATATAAATGATTCATTTAAAATGAAAAAAATATATAAATGATTTTTTTCAAAACCATGCAAACATGAAAGACTTTTTTTTAAACTAGATTTAAAACTAGATTTCTTTATTGTGAACTTCTAAAGTGCAAAGCAAAGTGTTTCCTACTACTGTAGATCTCCAGAAGCCACTCTTGTGTTCTGGTGTCTAATGTAAAATCTGTGCCTCTGTTTTAGTAACACTTTTTTTTTGTACACAGGTCCACCAGACATGTGGAAAGCGCTGCTTCCTCTCTGCTGCATTAAACCATGTCAGCAGATTTAGTCACATCAAAATGTGCTATTCTCAAGGGCATGTCAGAATATATCTAACGCAGTAAGTAATTCATGCTGTGTGCCATGTTCGTGTCAAACCCTGTGTTGTCCTCACCGAATGACAGAAGGGTGGGGCTACTGTTCTTTGCATGCCTTTTTGAAAGGTAGCAATACAAAACAATAATATGCAACATGATGTGTGATGTACCC